TAAGGTTCAACAATAATAGTCATGGGGTATAATAAGCAATTAAATTATACTAGGAAAAAGTCAATAAAAATTGTAAGGATACAAGCAAAAAAGTTACAGTCATACAGTCATGAGTGGATGGATGAAAAGAAGGATGGGAAGATTAATAGTAAAAGTAATGCAGACTTAGTAAATAGTTTGACAATGTTGAGGGAATTATTTGTTTAGCAGAGTGATGGCCTTCAGGAAAAAGCTGTTCTTGTGTCTGGTTGTTCTGGTGTGCAGTGCTCTATAGTGTCATTTTGAGGGTAGGAGTTGAAACAGTTTATGTCCAGGATGTGAGGGGTCTGTAAATATTTTCAAAGCCCTCTTTTTGACTCGTGCAGTATACAAGTCCTCGATGGAAGGGAGGTTGGTAGTAATTGTTTTTTCTGCAGTCCTAATTATTATCTGAAGTCTGTGTCTGTCCTGTTGGGTTGCAGAACCAAACCAGACAGTTATAGGGGTGCAGATGACAGACTTAACAATTCCTCTGTAGAACTGTTTCAGCAGATCCTTGGGCATTTTCTGAGTTGGCACAGAAAATACATTCTTTGTTGTGCTTTTTTGATGATGTTTTTGATGTTAGGTGTCCATTTTAGGTCTTGAGATATGATAGAACCTAGAAATTTGAAGGTCTCTACTTTTGATACTGTGTTGTCTAGTATTGTAAGAGATGGTAGTATGGGAGAGTTTCTTCTAAAGTCTACCACCATTTCTATGGTTTTGAGTGTATTCAATTCCAGATTGTTCCAGTCGCACCATGAGGCAAGTTGTACAACCTCCCATCTGTATGCAGATTCGTTGTTGTCTCAAATGAGACCAATCACTGTTGTATCATCTGCAAACTTCAGTATTTTAACAGCTGGATCATTTGAGATGCAGTCATTGGTATATAGGAGAAGAGAAGAACGCACACAGCCTTGGGGGGGGGACTGTGCTAATTGTACAGGTATGAGATGTGATTATGCCTTGCTTTACCTGCTGCTTCCTGTCTAAAAGCTTATGATCCACTTACAAGTGTGTTCAGGTACTGCTAGATGGTTTAGTTTAGTTAGAAGAATGTCTGGAATGATGTTATTGAATGCTGAACTAAAGTCTACAAAGAGGACCCTTGCATAGGTCTTTGGAGATTCAAGGTGTTGTAGGATGTAATGCAGAGCCATGTTAACAGCATCATCTGTCGTTCTATTTGCTTGGTATGCAAACTGCATGGGATTCGTGATGGTTTTCAGGTGAGACAGCACAAGCCTTTCAAAGATTTTCATAACTACAGATGTTAGAGCAACTGGTCTGTAGTCATTCAGTTCCTTGATGGAGGGCTTCTTTGGCACTGGGATGATAATAGAGTATTTGAAGCAAGAAGGAACATAGCAAATCTCTAGTGATTTATTGAAGATCTGTGTGAAGATGGGGGCCAATTGGTCTGCACAGACTTTTAAGCAAGAGGGAGTTATCTTGTCTGGGCCTGGTGCTTTTCCTGGCTTTTGTCTGTGAAATAGATCTTGCACTTCTTTTTCTGTGATCACCAGAAGTTGTGAATCCAATGGCTTGGGCTCAGTTGTCGGAGGTTTGGCTGTTGTTGGTGTGGATGGGGCTTGTGGAGATAGGTGGCTGTAGTTTCTCTCAAACCTGCAGTAAAACACACTCAGGTCAACTTCAAGTTGTTGATTTCCTTCTGCCTGGCAAGGAAGTTTGCCATAGCCCGTAATATTTTTAAGAGTTTTCCTGTTTGCTTCCTTAACTTTTCAGAGTAGCTTCTTTTTGCTTCTCTGATCTCTCTTGTTAATACATTTCTGGCCTGATTGTACAGCATTCTATCACTTTTTCTGTAGGCTTCCTCTTTGGAATGACATAGCTGCTTAAGTTTAGCTGTGAACCAAGGTTTATTGTGACTGTATATTCACAGGTTCCTGGTCGGTACACATAGGTCTTCACAGAAGCTGACATATGATGTTACTGTATCTGTAAGCTCATGTCAAAAATTTCGTACTTGCATAGATGGTTAGATAGCATCATTAATGCAATGAGCATGAATTTGGGCAAACTCTGGGAGACAATGGAGAACAAGAGAACATGGCATGTTATGGCCCATGGGGTTGTGAAAGGTTAGACACAACTTAGCAAATGAATGACACATGAGACTTGACAAATGCTGTAAAATGCACTCATCAAGTCTTATGTAGACAAAAGCCTCTGAACAAGCCAGGTCCAATGTTCATGTGGCTCAAGTTAAAATAGTCCTAGAGAGCACTGACCATTGAGGTGGATCTGCAGCAACTTGAAATTCCTAATCCATCAGCAAGCAAATGATTAGTGAAGAGTATGAGGTTATAACCTAGACAAAAATTGAATCAGGAGAAGGGAAACAAGCCTCCTTCAAACCTGAAACTGGTCAGGACAATTTCAAACTTACTCAGGTACAGGCTTGGAATGTGATGAAGACAATATTTTGTGGTTGTTGCAGAGAATGAGGTTTCTGGGCCATGTTTATACCTTGGTTCAGAGCAAATACATATTTTCAATACTAGGAAAGCTCTTTTAAACAGAGTCCATTATTATTTTCCCTAGCTTTCTCTATTTCACTAACCTAATTTCCTTAGAGGAAAGTGTTGCTATGGTTAAACAATTGGAAGATCCTTAGTAATTGGCTGTGACTCACCCAAAACTCGATCCTGAATTCAGATCTACTATTTGCTTAGTTCTAGAGGGTGAGATACAGAAACCCATCAATATACAGAGCTCACTGAATCATATACAAATATATGACAGAGTGGTATTATAGCCAAATATTGGAGAGATATGATATGCAAACATATTTTGGATGGTATAGGCATTTTTTATATTGATTATATTAGTCTTGCTTTTGTGCCAAAATCGACTTCTAAAATTACATTAATGGCACTGCCATTAAAATTACAGTGCCAAAGGCTGTCCTCATTGAGACTGGGACCCAGGTTGTCAAAGAGATTGTTAGCAGCTGCTTTCCTTTTTTTCATTCATTTCACTGATGGGAGCTGTCATTCTGGCACAGAAGAGCCTCAAATATGGTGAGAGCTAAATGGTAGTTGGTGGTATAATACGTCCAGTAGTCTCAAGTAGAATGAAATATCCTTCAGGTGAAAATGAAAGAAACCTTGTGAAGACAGATTATCCTGGAACCTCTTTTGTTTCTGAAGCATCTCTAGGCTGGTATTATTTTTTTAGGAATGACTGCTGCTCTTTGATCAGATATAATGAATTCATCACAATATTTACTGAATTTTTAATTTGAGCAAATGCCTTATGCCAATGCATAGGACAAGAAGACAGATTTTGAAAGATCATATGTGCTTTATCACTTGTATTTACCATGGAAACTCATGCCAAGAAGTTGGCAATGTACTGCTGAAACTGCAGAAGAAACAGGATATCACAAAGGTAATTTCACATCTCTGTTCTTAAAACATGATTATCCTATAGATAACCATACCTATGATATTCCAGAACTATTCATGATAATTGAGAAACGTGAGTTATGATGTCACAATGAAAGCCCAACATTTTCATATTTGCATGGCAAAGGAAGAGATGTGCATGTGAGGGAAGGGATTTGCATGTAAGTGAAGAGTTTGGTTATAATATTATTCCCCATCTCTATGAAAATACCTATATTGTGGTCATTTTGCGACCACAGTTGGGACTGGCAATTTGGTCATAAATAAAGTAGTCACTAAATAAAAACACAACTGTGCTTATGATCTTATTTAGAACTTTCCTTTATTTTACAGACTTGCAAAGTTTGTAAAAATTGGCTGTGAAGTTATTTTTTCATCACCACTGTAAGCGCAAAAGGCTGCTAAATGAGCATTAATTATAATGCTGCCTTGAGTTTTTGGAAGGAAAGGAATCTAACAAATTAATGAACAAATTATATGAATTAATGGAAGGATGGATGGATGAATATATGTAGGTTTTAAAGTATGGTTATTTACAATTGTGCAACTAAAAGTAAGGACCTACTATCACAAGAAAACACCTGACCAATTACCACCTTCCTGAAATGAGAGGAAATGGAACAAAATGATGGTGAAGAAAAATGTTGCAAAAATAATTTTTTTATTTTTAAAGGTGTTTGTCTTGTTAAAAGTTATACTATATTTCAACATATGTATCATAGTAGTGCATGAAAACTGCAAGAAATGGCAATGAAATAATAATAAAAGCCTAGGGGGAAAATAGTATATAAATAATAAAAGGGCATTGGTTGGGAACTGTAATTTGTCCTTGGTACTTAACCAAATTTTCCTATACTGATGGGAGGATTAAAAAAACATAATGTAATTGGCCCCTTTCAGTCTACCTTGCCCAGCATCCATTTGCTACCAACCCAGTTGCAAAGAAACAACTAATAATACATATACAAAATCTCTTACATTTGTAATATATTTTGAGTGAATCACACACAGCATGACCATTCCTTATTAGAAGGTCAAACCTGCACATTTTGTATTTGTATTGTCCTTTGCAGCAGGAACCTACAAATTCCTTTTGGGCTGGCTTGCCATGATACCTTTTTCCTATGCTTCCACTTGCACTGTTCCTTTACAAGTTACTAGGTAAAATTGACTGTCTTTCTTTAATTAGATGCAGCATCTTCCATCTGAAATGCATTGTTTACATTTATATATAACATTATTTCGTATGTAAATATGTCACAGAGATTAGCTCTCCTTGAATCCTCGATGTCATCATCATCATTGCCATAACAGCCATCATATAGTTACATTCCATGAAACGGAAAACTTTAAATTTAAGCTGGCCAGGTGACAACCCACAGGCAGTTCTGAGCTGAGCTTCAGTGTGGGTGAGGTTTTGGCTTCATATTCTCACATCTGGATCAGATTAGACATTCCAGTTCAGGATGGCTGAAGCTTTGTTCCTCCCTCATTTCTGCCCCAACGCCTGAGTGGGCAGACAGCAGTGAATTCCAGGATAAAAAAGAAGACTCATTCTTTCCTCATATCTGCAAATTCAAGAGAATTGGTGTCCTCTTCCACCGTTTGCACAAGTCTGTGCAGAGAAGGAAACACCATGGAACTTTGGACTCTGATGCAGCTGCTGCTCCTGGGGACACAGCTGGGTGCAGGTCAGGGACAAGGAGATGAACTCAGCTCCGAAGAAGAACGAAAAGCTCTGATGCTCAAGGTGAGAAAAACATTGTGTTTGCCCTGGGATCTCTGACATCAGCGGGGCTGTTTACCTAATAATTAGGCAGCTTCTTGGGCCAATCAAAGATGCTTCCTTGCTTGCTAGAAAGAGTGAATCTTGAGTTGCTTTGTAAGTAGCTTAAATAGGTGTCACACCCAAAAAAGAGAAAAGAATGATTTAGAAGTCATTGAACCATCCCAGGAGATTCTGCACTGAAATTAAGAAGAACCAAGTAGTCCTAAAATAAACTTGGCCGACTCTGGCATAAAGATCTTCCTCATCTTTGCTTGGCAATAGTCTTACAAAATTCATGCAGCCATTTTATGTAACAGACTTTCCTTCCTAGCAAGTTACACTTTACTATAATATCTGGCAACAGGAACAGGCATCCAGTCTCTCCAGCTCCTCCAGTTATGTTTTTTCCCAACTTTTATCAGGAAAAAAAATTGGAATTTGCAGGTCTTTTGTTTCCTTTCCCACATGTGTGGAATGGTGGCTAATGAATCTCCTCTTTCAGACTTAAATTCTGGCCAAGCAATTTGACAAGTACCTCTTTAAACCTGAATCAGTCCTTGTGACACGCTAGTCTTTGGCAAGGAAAAACTAAAAAAGAAGCCTATTAACAATATTCGAAATCACATTGATATAGCAGGGAGCCAAGGAAACAAGAGAAGAGCCTGAAGCAGATTCTTCGAAACTGGGGTCCTCACACAATTTCTAGCCTTTCCTTGAGTCATAATCTCTGTACATTTTGAGGCCAGCAGGTTGAGAATATTGGCAGACGCGGAGTGTAGGTGCTTGGGTTGTGAACAGAGGAATCTAGCCAACCTTCCCTTCTTCCTTCCCTCCCTCCCTCTCATACAAAGAATTTTATTTTGGAAGAAAATTAAAACTAGAGCCCATGAAAAGAGGGGGCACATGCTTTTCAATGTCATATATTTCTAAAGCAGTGCTTATACAAATGCATATCAATGTAAGTTTTTTGTAGCTGCTTATCCACATATTACAGCTCTCCTATAATTAAGTACCTTATCTCAAGACAGAGGTGCCATCATTTTTGGCAAATGTGAACATGATCATGAGTAGATATTGGCCTTAAATTTTGGTCACTCTAAACCAGAAATGATAGTACTCAGATTTAGGCAGCTCACTTAACCATAGGTAAATCACAGAAAAATGTCATGTTTTGTGAGGAACAATGCAAAGGATTAAAACGGTGGCTCATGCCTGGAAAAATGTAGCATTATTGCTGCCTTTATCAAAACTAGGTATGCAGGCCAGGTGCATTAGCCAAGTTATCAAAGCTCTTTGAAATCTGATTGGGTGTAGAAGGCTCCATGTGAACTATTTTTAGGGTCCCATCATCCAAAATCTGAAGCAAAACTATGATTTTGATTCCTCCTCCACATGTGTTAACAGAATATTAGTTCATCCTTTTTGAGAATTCTTAATCTGTATTTGATGCGTGCTAACAATGTGCCCAACTACAAAGCTGAAGCCCAAAGATTTTTATATTGAAATCTGAATAAACAAAAGCTAACATTTCTAACATTTATGTAAACACTGGATACAATTCTATTCTTTTTTCCATCTGTAATATAGATAGATTCACAAGCACAAACCTCATTTATCTCTTCCCTAGATCACCATATTTAAACTATGTTGTAACCTCATTGTTATTTCCACACTGCATATAGGCACACACAAATAAAAATATTGCCACGAGTACCACTGACTATATTTTTGGTGAGGGTGGATGTATAGTATCTACGGCAACAAGAAAGAGGAAGTAGAAACTTGGGGGAGCATCAGTGGACTGGGATTGAAGAGACTATGCCAAGTTTCTAATGATAGTAGCCTAGGTTCTCCTCTCAAATAGTTTAGTAATATGGTCAGGCTTTTTTCCACTTTGTTAGCATCATAACACTGTAAGAAAGATTTTCTTCATTCTTAACAGACCAAAAGCATTTGCTTGTTTTCTATTAGGTATGTGTATACTTATGGAAATATGATAGCAATATGTGTGTCAAGTAATATATTCATTTATATTGCATCAGGAAATCACGCCATACCTTTCTTTACAATTCTTTTAATTCTACCTTAGTTCTTCTTTGTTAGTATTTTCCTATTACAATTCTCTCTATTGCAGTGCTGTGTGTGTGTGTGTGAATCTGCAGTGTGTGGGGGTATGTGGGTGCACCTTCAGTCCACATTGATTCCTGCTGACTCCCTGGATAAATTGTCTCCTTTCTAGAGATTAGAGAAAGTGACTGGCTCAAGGTTTTCCAGCTGGCTTCATGCTGAAAATGGGCCTAGAACTCAGTCTATCTGTTTCTAATTTGGTGCTTTTAATCATTATACCAAATTAGATCTCAATAAAATTACCGTGCCTTACATACCTTTGCAGAAATTTGGGGTAGAATCTTAGAACTTGAGTTCAGATTACTCAGTTCAACAACTTTTAAAGATGTTGGCCTAGAAACCAAGAGACTATTTATCAACTATCAAGGAGATCTCACTTAAGCATGAAAACCAACTGGGTGACTTTGAGCTGGTTGGTCTCTCTCAGTCCAACTCACATCACAATTATTGTTCTGTGGAAAATAGAAGGTTGAATTATAAGGTATGTTTGCCACCTGGAGTTGGCTATACCTATATATTACTAACATTCTTTTGATTGTTTGTTTGCACCACCGGTTAGCCAGGAGGAAGTCAGAAGTTGCTCCTACTTTAGTATTATGCCACAATAATTTTGGAATAAAGGTTAATTTTAAAACCAAACTAATAGCAATACATAATATAAATTTAACGCCCATTCTGGTTCATAAGATTGCATGACCTTTTGCTCAAAATATGATCAACAAGTCACAGGTTGTCTAATATAGATAAGTGTATGTATGTAGGGAAGTGTGAGTATATAAATGTATCTGGGTGTGGGTGTATAAAATATATATATCTCTTTCTCCCTTCCGCCCTCTCTCTCAATTAGAGGAACCAATTTGCTTGCCTACTAAGCTGTAATGTTTAAAGGAAGGGCATTTTGATCCCTTTTCTTTCTAGAAAGGTGTTTTCACATGAACAAGACCACGTCTTGATTGCTCACTGATAGATGCCACAATGTTCATTCTATTCACTGGTTGAAAATGAGAATAAATTCTGGATCTTTGAGTCCTGTTTAAATAATTTTAAATTTGTTTGCATTCTTTTGCATTTATTTTTTGATGCTAGGCTTATTGTTTTATTACAGAACAAATACAATTGTTTAAATACCTAGCACTTTTAACTGGGTGAATTTTAAACTTATGATATACTGAATGCATCTATTAAGTTTTTTAATCATAGTACTCCATGTTTCCACAATTGACAACACAAAAAGTAAAAGGACCATAGTCATGAGCATTGTGCATCAGTTTTCTGTTTAGGTCCCTGCCTGGCAAAGCAAAAATTGGAAAATAGTTCAGTGCTTGACACACAGCAAGGTGTGGTTTCTAACCACGTTTTAAAATTCGTAAATAATGCAGCTCTATGTTGCTACATAAATCAATAGCAGAAATGCACAGAGAGAAGTTAAATAATGTAATGCACTGTTTCCTAAAATTAACAATTTTAAGAAACCCCGGACTTCAGTTTCCCAGCCAGATGGGAATTAAGATTTACACATCTTAAAGTTATCAAGTTTGAGAAACACTGGTAGTAGATGGAGGTGATAATACTGATAGTAGATGGGATGGGCTTCAGGTTATATGCAAGACTAGATAAATAATATTTTTCTTTTTAGAAAACAAGTATTTCTGCAAAAGCTACTGTCCCTTTCCAGGCTAGAGGAGGCTGGTAGAAGTTTCTTTTTTCCAGTCAAAATTGGCAGTGGATTCCTGAGAGTAGTAGGAAAAGCTGAAGGAGCAGATTTTTCCTGGTACTAAGTTCTGAAAGTACTAGAATTAAAAGTACAGATTAGGCAGGAAAAAATATAAGCAAAAGCGTAAGGATTTATTTTATTATATTTTCAGCATTGTTTGATTTTGCTCTGTAGATTTGCCTTCAATCCCATGGTTATCCCTGTTTCTAAGTTTGTCTGTTTGATTGATTGATTTCTGGTACTTGTATACAGTGTGGAATAATTTGGTTCAGCTATCTAATCCCCAACTGTCTATTTTGTCGCATTTACTAAAATAAAATGCATTTATTAATTGTTCTGCTGGCATTGGTTTATACAGTAGTAGTACTGCATACTCCAAAACTACTTGTAAACAACAACCATGAAAGAAGGGGTATCTCTTGTTCTGCCTTACGTAGATTTAAGGTAAAAGGGAAGGAGGGCTACATCCACACTCAAGAACCGATAGTACAAATTTAACAACTTAACCCACATAGAAGTTTAGGAAGCAACTACATCCAGAACTCAGTTGGGAGGATGCAAACCTCACAATGGCAGTTCTGAGTGTCCAATCAAAGCCAAGCCTTTTTAACAGGCCTATATAATGGGCCAGGCTTCAATCAGATAGTTATATTGTCATGTTGACATTTATTGATAACCAAGTCAAGGTTGTAGATGCCCCCTATAAAGCATGGGGGGGGGGAAAGGATGGGTCACATTAATTTTTTTGTGGACTCTCTATATAAAAAATAAGCACGCACACACATATGTCAAATAATTGATTAAAAATGTGTGCCTAATTGATAGCCAAATCTCATCCTAGGTTCTGCCTTGGTTTATTTTTCCAATACGCAACCAAGTCGGAAGATCATTTAGAAGCAGCTTATTAGGGTACCCTGATAAAGTGGGATCTCTCTATGGAAAGAGAGAGCCCCAAGACCCATCTTACATTCCTTTTTATAGTTAATACAAAAAAGAAAATGAAAAAGGAAAGTTGATTGGAAAGGATAAAAGTAACAAGCTCTGAAACAGTGGAAAGAATACAAAGAAGAAAAGCAGAAGCTTCAATTTTTTTTGATCTTCGGGATCAGTGATGGCAATTGCCTGAAATGCATGTCAAAAG